AAAAAAAAAAAAAAAAAAAAAAAAAAAAAAATATATATATATATATATATATATATAGTTATTTTCATGAAAAGATACAAACAGTAAAATAAAAAAATAAAAAGAATGAAAGAAAAATATTTAGAGGAACCTTAATCTTAAATATTTAATAGTTAAATATTCAAGTCCTAATGTGTTGGAAAATGGCAATTTGTTTTCAACCTTTTAAAAAAAAAAAAAAACTTCTTGCTACCTACACTGAACAAAATTATAAACGCAACACTTTTGTTTTTGCCCCCATTTTTCATGAGCTGAACTCAAAGATCTAAGACTTTTTCTATGTACAAAAAAACAAAAGTGTTGCGTTTATAATTTTGTTCAGTGTATATATGGGTTAAACACTTCAATAACAATGGTGAATAAAGACATTAATTTAGTAAAATATTAATTTAAAAATGCATTTTTCACTAATAACATGACCCGTAAAATGAAAGAAAACGAGACCACTGCTAAGGAATAAAATAACACATTAGACACTGTCTGGATTTAAAAACATCCTTTTAATAAGTCCGTGCCAAACATCCACACACTCGCACAAACACACGCTCGCACTCTCACATACACACACACACACACTCACACGCACGCACACACTAGTGAAAAATAATGCTCCTACAAAAAGAACGCTACCATTTGTTTCCCACAATATCTTTAAATAAAATAACTTCAAGTACTCTGACGCAGGTACAAAAAAACTCTGTTCTAGCTGCCTCCAGTGGGCCACGACGCACGCGGGTGCTTACCGAACGCCTGCTGTCCATCTCTGAGCGCCTCTGGGGCCAGCCAGCTTTCATATGGGTTCAGATATGAGTTTCGTACAGTATGCCTTTGAGTGGAGGCCTTGATGTGTTGTATATAAGAAAACAATAACATTACAAAAAAGGGAAAAAACGAAACCAAACAAAAAAAGAACAAATTATTTTCCCTATACCCTGTTCTGAAGGGCAGGCACTACTTAAGATTAAGGAGACCACAGTGTTTTGTAGAGGATATGTATATACTGTACAAACAATAAATGTATATTATTAATCACTTTAAGACTAAAATTAATCGCTACAAACGTTCTAAGGCATAAACAATATCCAATGTCTGAAACAATATGTACACATCATTCCAAACAAGACTCAATATATTGACATTAATAGACAGTATGTACACATGGGTGCCTCCTGCTTGTCTGCGTGTGTGTGTATGTGTGTGTGTGTGTGTACAGTGATGCCGTTAATTCACGTTCAGAGGGTTGAATACTCTGATGCCACATGGCACAGAACAGTGTAAACAGTTTCTTTTTTTTCTTGGCTTTGTTTCATATTTGGAGAGGAAAAACAAACAAATAAACATTCCATTAGATTTAAAGCAGTTTTGCTGTTTCTTCCTTTTCATAGAAAATGAAGAGTGGACCTTTCTTTTATTTAGTCATAAATAATCATTAAAAAAATTAAATACATTCACTATAATATTAACGATAAAGTAAAAATACAAAACCAAAATAAAAAGATATTTACAAGTAGTGGAAAGGGATTTTTCTCCTTAGTACAGCTCTGATGGTTGAAATTTCAGTGCGATTTCTCTTTTCTAGAAGGAAATGGTATTGCACAAAGACACCCGCTGTCTTGTGTCTCTTTGGGTGTTGATGTGGGATTGGTCGGTCCTGAAGGCTCTGTGTCAAAGAGAGAGCTGCGACTCCCCCGCTTTTGAGCCCCGGTCGCAGGTTTGAAATGACAGCTCGTGGTGGTCCGAGACCACCTCAGTTAGTCTGCTTCAGCAGCTCAGTCCACCGCTTCTCAAAGAACTTCCTCATGTTGTGCCCGGCCCGGCCGATGTCAGAGTTGTCCTCGTTGAACTTCTCGCAGTTGTCGAACACCAGGTTGACATCGATGATAAACGTTTCTAAATTCTGATACCTAAAGAACAGGCGGGGGGAAAAAAATCAGTTACTGCATTTGCATCTCATTATTAAAGAATCATATAACACTTAAAGTTTTTTTTGTATGTAAGTATGTGCTACACATAATGGAAGACAGTGCTAAATATATTTTATTTGTATTGTTAAGAGGAAAATAGTTTATTTAGGGAATTAAGTTTTTATGAATGGAATTTTTATATTTTAAAGGACACATAGAGCATAACCTATATTTATTGTGATTTTATTGACATGGATATTATGTTCATTTATAAAGTTGATATTTTTGTGTAGCATTTATTTATTTGCTTTATTATTTTTATTAATATTTTATGTATATTTCAGTCATTTATTTTGGTGGAAAGGGTTTAAAAAGGTACATTAAAAAGGAAAATTGTTAATTTAGGCATTTACATTTTTATAAATGGATTTTTTTACATTTTAAAAGTATTTTATTTGAGGATACATGGAGATAATTCTTATTTGCTGTTATTTTCTTGATGTGGACATATGTTCAATTGTATAGTGTATATTTTTTGCTTATTTATTTATTTGTGCATTTATATTTATGCTTATCAATATTTATTTGAGTTATTTTATCCCAGAGCATTAATACAAATCTTAATACATCAAATAATTTTCAAAATAAAATGCTTTTAACTATACATATTTGTTTTATACAATTTATAAAAGCTTTATTTTAATAAATTAAATAATTATTCAAATTCAATTTTGGTTCATTTTCATCTTCCCGTATTTCATGCCACCTTCCCAGCTTTTAGTTTTTCACATTTTTCAAAACCGAGTGACAGACACTTACTGGCTGCTGACGAGTTTCTCACGGATAGTGGAGAAGTCCATGGGTTTTTTAATGACTTTGCGGTACCCTGGGACAGATTTGAGGTTAACCGGTGTGAGGAAGGGCCAGGCGTCCTGATGACGTTCCAGTTCAGCCAACAGAATCCTGAGAAATTCAAACATACATGAGAGCTGCATTAAAACAAACATTGAAATCCAGGAATACACACAGAAAGTAACAGAATGCGGGTGATACCTGCACAGGCCCAGGTCCCGGTTGTTGTCTCTGGCTGTTTTGGCTCTTTTTACACAAGCAGGGCTGTCCGGTTTGGGTGCTGGGGGGGTGGAGGTGTTCTTCTTGGCCTGGGTGGAGGTGGTGGCTGCTTTCTTTGGGGTGCTGTTGTTGCTGCTGGTGGCTTCTTCTTCACATGTCTCAGTCTGCTTCTTGCTTTTCTTGGCTGCTTCTGTTGCTTTTTTTCCTCCAGTGCCTGGTGGTGCACGATTCGGAGTCTTCTTAGATTTAGGTGACTGACCGCTTGCCTGAAAGAGTGTTCAGGACTAGTTCAGATTTACGGGTTCATACTGCTACATGTTTACAACACATTAACATATATGAATACACTTAATAACACTCCAAATAAGTCAATGAACACAGTACACATAACTGCTCACAGTGCTAGAGTACATAATTATAACTCATCAGCACTTGCAGTCACTTTCCGTCATTTCCACTGATAAAATAACGAGAAGATTAAGAAAAAATACATAATTATTATTATTAATGCAAGAAGGGGTATGCAATACAAATCCTTTTAATAGGCCAGTGTTTTAATAGAGTTTAATAGAGCATTTAAATAAATGCTATTCTTTTGAACTTACTATTCATCAAGAACACTGAAAAATATGTATCACAAGTTTCCACAAAAACAATATATTATTAAGCAGCTCAACTGTATTCAACACTGATAATAAGAAATACTTCTCGAGCATCAAATCAGCATTTTTAGAATGATTTCTGAAGGATCATGTGACACTAAAGACTAGAGTAATGATGCTGAAAATTCAGCTTTGCATCACAGATATCAATAAAATGCAAAAATATATACAAATAGAAAAGTGTTATTTTAAATTATAAAAATATTTAACAATAGTTTGTACTGTATTTTTAATCAAATAAATAATTCAAATAAAAAAATGTATCTTAATTATCTAAATACATAAATAACAAAAATCTTAATATATAAATAACAGGCATACATATAGACATAAGCTCATCATCTCAGAGACATGCCCCTCAGCAAATGAGACTTGTACTCGTGATGATGTGAACTGGAGGTGGTTACCTTGGAGATGCAAGCAGGGCAGTACCAGTCTCCCTCTGGGATGTTGGTTATCTTAGGTTTGTGGCAATAGGTGTGACACCCCTTATCACAGCCGTCACACAGCAAAAGCAGGTCTTCATTATCACCCTTTCGGCACATCTGACAATACTGCACACAAAAAACAGGCATATAAGTATGGCAACTGTCTGCAACATATATTGTAGATGCATAACAAAATAAGTGAACCCTGTGGTTTGTGCATGACATGACTTACCACTTTCATGATGGACCTCTCCCAGGCGATGGATTTCTGGAGCTGCTGCAGACACATAGCCAGCTGAGAGGAGCTGCGTACCTCGCTCAGCGCCTTCCGCCATAGCTTCATCCCCGGAGCAATCTCTTCCTCTCCCCTGTGACACACAAAAACACAACGCACAGATCAGAGAGGGGGTTTATTTCAAACCTGTAATTTGTCCTTAATGTCTATATCAAATTGAGTGGCTGAGACCCTGAGATTTCAGCAGCACACACATAAACACACACACACACACACACAGACTATATAGTGTGATAGAATTCTGTGGCATGACTTCACAGCCATACATGAGGACGGAGAGCTGTGTGTACCATGCACTTAGAAGTATTAGAAAACAAATCAAGTTTTGATGTTTTTAAACTCCGTCTGTGCACTGCTGATTAAAACCATGCAGCCAAAAACAGGAAAGGTGCAGGCAAGGGAACGAGAGGAAGAAAAAAAAAAATGAAACACAGCACGAGAACCAAAATCCGAAACTGGAGCCAGGGTGAGAACGGATGGACGGACGAGCAGAGAAGCCCCAGCCAGCAGAGAGAGGGGGAGGGGGAGGATGAGGAGGAGCAGAGACGAAGGTTGGCAGTCTGGATGACCTACCCTTCCCCTCCAGCGCTAGTGGATGGAGCAGGTGCGGGGACAGTGACTGTACCCACATTATCCAGTTTGATCTGGATGGTGGTCCCTAAGGGGCTCCGCAGGTACCTTCTCTCAATGTGACGCTCCAGCTCTGCCAATCGCGCCACTGCGATGTCTAGCGGATTGCTGGGTCGACGGACCAGGCCTTTCTCCGAGCTTCGCTCCTCCTGAGACTCTGCCCCGGGGCGGGGCTTGGGGAGGGCCTTGTGCTCATAATAGACCAGGTCCTCTCTTTCAGACTGTGGTTCAGGATATGTCCAGCCCTGAAAAGCAAAGGATTGTGGGGTATAGGTTAGTAGAAGAAATGACAACGATTTGATGCATTTCTGGAAGCTGTACAAAAGCTCACCTTGACCTGCAGGCTGGCGGACGTGACTTTGCGCTCCAGCTCCTCCACCTGTTGCAGCAGAGCGATGTCGGTCTCCATGGCCTGCTCCTCCACACACCACTCCTGCAGCGTCTCCACGGAAACCTGGCCCTCGTCGAGCTCTGAGACCTCCATAACTGCCACTGCAAACAAAAAATAAGACAGCCATAAGACCCCAGGAGAAATCACACCCGTAAAGCACATCACAGCACAATTCAGCTCGTTCTGACAACTGCATGCTCGGCTGAGTCGGTTAGACAGTGTTTTATGAATATTATTTACGACTGCAAACAAGTCAGATTGTAAATTGTGGTTATTCTGATTTATTTTATTTGCATTCTAATCAGTTAACCTCAAATCTGAATTTGCCAAAATGTGCTCACATTTCTTTTCTTTAAAAAATATACTGGGAAACACTTTATTTTAAAGTACGCTTGTTACTTGTTCTTACATCAGTTATAACAGTAATTTGTGCATAATTACATGCAACTAACCCTAAACCAAGTATATGTTGTTAATTAATATTACTCAGTACTTAATGTATCTCGAACCCGCAACCTTTGGGTTACGAGCCCGACTCTCGGCCACGACTTCCCCAGTATCGGTATCGGTGCATCCCTAATAATTACACTGTAACACTGCAAGTTCTGTCATCATTTACTAAAATTATTAACCAAACAGTTGACGGTAGCCATTGACCTCCATAGTATATTTTTCCATACTATGGAATTCAATGGCTACCGTAAACTGTTTGGTTACCAACATTTTTCAAAATATCTTCTTTCATGTTTAATAGAAGAAAGAAACTCATTCAGGTTTGGAACAAGTAAAGGGTGAGCAAATTACAACAATTTTCATTTTTGGGTGAACTATCCCTTTAAATTAAGTGTTACCATATACTTCAGTTTTAAAACATTCAGTTCCTCTTTTATGGAAGAAATCAACAATAAAAAATGAAATGAAATTTAGTTTCGTTATAAGTCTTCCTTGGATTTAATCTAAAAAGGAACATGCAGTATGAAGGTCTTTTTCCATAATTTTATCACAAATTAGGTAAATGTGTTAATATGTTAAAATGGGTTAACGATCAATAAACAATCTCTGGCAGCCTTTGTCTGCTTGAACTGTTTCCATGGCTAAATCTGTAAGATAAAACACACGCAGGAACATTGTGTTATTTCATAGTGATTGAACTCACCCTCTCGGTTCTTGTTACAGGTCTGCGTGATGAGCTCCATGGATTTCTGCAGCTGTTTCTGCAGGGCTCTCTCTCGGATGCCTCTGCTGTGAAGAGCGTTCACTAGCGCTTTCAGCTCCTCCATGTCTGTCACCTTCCACCAGCCCAGCAGCATGTCTGCCAATCAGACAAAAACATTTCCATCAACAACCGCAAACAAAACTCGACTAATGACTCGTTGTTGAGAAAAGTGAAAGTGCAACATTATCATTTAACAGCTAGGTGGAGTAGCATTTGTTTGCGTTATCTGAGTGATTTAGTTGATGGTACTGCACTCACTCTCTGGTATGGGCAGGGGTTGAGGGTGGTCGTGGTTCCTAGGAAGGTCCAGTGCCATTGGAGAAGAAGCAGATATAAGCTTCTCCCCAGTGGGAACAGGAGAACCACTTTTGCTGGTTGAGACGCTGGGTGCCAGCAGGGGGCTGGCGCTGCCCTCCACTGAGGGGTATATGTGCAGGGGGCTGCTGCACAGGTGGAGATTGGGGCTGATGACCCCACCGGACCAGTTGCCCAAAGGCAAACCAATCAGCGTTCCACCTGGCTTTACCTGGGAGGAGATAATGAGAATGCATGAGATACATGATGAGCATCCATTTCATTTAGATCAGTGCTTCTCAACTAGTGGTCTGGGGCCCACTACGGGGCCTCAACAAACCTCCAAGGGGGTATCAAAATGACTTCAAATTATTTAAAATAAGAGAAAGCAAACATTAAAATCAAGATATTTCCTATTTTAATTCACCTACTGTACAACTGTTTGGAAAAACCTGTATATGTGACCCTGGAGCACAAAACCAGTCATAAGTAGCACGGGTATATTTGTAGCAATAGCCAAAAATACATTGTATGGGTCAAAATTATCGATTTTTCTTTTATGCCAAAAATCATTAGGATATTAAGTAAAGATCATGTTCCATGAAGATATTTTGTAAATGTCCTACCCTTGACTGGTTTTGTGGTCCAGGGTCACATATATGAAGAAGCCTAATTTTAAATGTGTGATTTCTAGACCCGGAAAAGTCATGTAAACGAACAAAATCGTAAAACGACATGAGAATCTTTATAATGAATATACATTTTTTTGGTTATTCCAAGTTAAAACATTTTGCAAATGACAAGTCTCGGTTAGCCTAACACAGTACACCTAGCAAGGTGTATATATATACATATATATATATACATACATAATATATATATATATATTTTTTATACTTATACTTAATATTTATCCAGTAAATCATGAACAACTGGAACAGTCAAGAGGCCTTTGAATATTGTTGTGGACAATGGAGGGCCTTCATAAAGGTGAGAGCCATTTATTTAGATTTGAGCCACGCAATTTAGAAGAAATATTTAAAATAACTATTTTATAAAGACTTTTTTAACTTTCAGGTGCATGTTTTCAATATCTAATAATTTTTCTAATTTAATTCTGACTTGAGTTTGTTTAAAGCTACATTACTTTGATCAGTGACACAAGTGACAACTTTTTATAATACAGTCAATTAATTTAAACAATATTACATTTCTGTCTGTATGTTAAAGAAAGAACATCACTCAGTTAACTGTATGTTATTATAACATCAATTTGATAGCTTTTTAAAATATATTGTATTTTAGTTTCAGAATTGTTGGTTTCAGATTTTCAATTTGGTGCAACATTAAACAATCACAACCAATCAGAACATGTTCGAACATTCACATCATCACCACACTTAGGCATATTTCATATAGCCATGTGAAGCAAGACTTTGAACCATTGATATATCACTGTGTGCGGAGCGACCTAAAGTAACGTGAAAGAAATAGAATGCAAACAACTACAAAATATCTTGGTTAGGACAAAAGTGCTAATTAACTTGAAAGAGATTTATTACTTGTCACTTTATCATGTTGGACACTGTAAATATGAAATATATATTTCAAGTAGGATGTGTAATTACCTGAAAACTGAGGTTGCTGATCCCACCAGGTGAGGGGTTCAGAGGGCTTGCAGACGCAGAAAGGGGAAGCAGGTGATGGTGCGGAGAGGAGGTAGATGGTGGAGGTGGAGTTTTGGGCCGTGTGCTGGCGGTGTTGCTGCTGGGTGAGGACTGCCCGTGTGCCGACGGCTGGAGGAGGGAGGTGTCGTCGCAGGGCGAGCGAGGCAGCAGGCTAAACCAGTGCCCACTGCGCTCGCTGAGGACCTTGAGCAGCTGGTCGTTGGCCAGGAGCTGAGTCTGCGCCAGCTGCTGCGGCTGCAGGAAGTGTGCAGGGATGCCCAGCTGCAGAGGAGGAGGGATTGTGTGCTCTGCGCTCGGGCTGCTGGCCTCTGTCAGCTTGGAGGTAGTTGGAGAGTGAGCTGGAGATGATGCTGATGTAGTTTCCATAGCGACTGTTGCCGGGCAGCCATTGTGGGTGTGGCAGAGCCCCTTGGCCCCAACAGGTGTGCGAGGCAGTTCCTGACACTGAGGGCTTTGTGAGGGGCGGAGCTCTGGAGGTTGAGGGGGCGTGGTCGCAACCTCTGTTTCCTGCTGGTCTTTTAGGGGGGAGGAGCGCATCTCTTTATTTGCCTCGTGATCAGGATCGATGGGCTTCTCCTCCTCCTGTTTCACCTCCTCCTTCACAGCCCCCTGTATCTTGTCATGCTGATGATGCTGCAGAACTTCCTCCTTAGGCTCCTCTTTGACCCGCACTGGAAAGTTTCTCAGCCTCTCACGCTCTTTCTCCAACTCCTCGACCCCTACATGAGAGACAGAATGAAAACATAATTAGTGTAAAATTAATGGTGTGGCTGTATGCAAATGCATTTATGGATGGAGGGATGGGCAGACAGACTCACCTCCACTCTCTAACCCCTCTATGTAAACTCCTCCACACTGCGGGAGGACCCAGTATCTGCGGCGGTACCGGTCCTGCCCATACGACATGGACCGCAGGGCATGAGACGACTCAAACAGCTTCCGACGGATCAGGTTTTGCTGCTGTACTCACACAGAAATACACATTTTTGTGGGACTATATATGTAATTATAATAGGGCAGCACAATAAATTGAAATTGCAATATGGATTTGTGCAAATATAAAATCACAAAGGCTGCAATTTATGTAAATAAATATATGCACTGCGTGTTTAAGAGTGAAGTGTGGCACTGTGTTCATTTACACGCGAGCAGCTCATGATCTGGTGTTTTCAGTGTCTCGAAGCGGTTCATTTCCATCGTTTATAATGGTCGTTTATAATGCGCATTTAAGACACAATATGCGCCAACCATATTATAAACATATAAACTGTTTTCAGCAAATGAGAAGCTATACGAGCTCCCTGCGTTTTTCTTCCAAAATATAAACTTGATGGTTTAATGTTTAAAACATAAATATAAGTTGTACATTTCTACTTGTAATTATTATCATTATTTGTAATTGTAGTACTATTTTTCTTATATACTTGTTTTTTAAAATAAAATAACACAATAGTAATATTTCTTATTTTGTTTCATATTTTTATTTAGTACTATTATTAATAATATAATTATTATAATAAATGTAATAATTAAAATATAATTTTCATTATTTATATTTTATAGTTATATTGATATATAATTACAAAATTGCATGGCCCTAAAAACAACCACAGTAAACCTGGACCTTCATAAAAAAAACAACAAAAAAAACAACAAAACATTTTAAATTGCAATCACGAATTTTATCAGGGGGAAGAAAAAAAAAAATCCCTAAATCATGCAGCCATAAATTATGACATCTGAATTTACCTTTGATAACTTCTCAATCTGTTTCTCCAGCTCTTCAACACTTGTGGCTGGGTCTCCCTCATCCTGATACACACACACATATTCAGGCTCAATCAATATAAAAATGTCTGCTAAATAAAGTTAAAGTAATGAAATGTAATGTATGAAACTGCACTCAAAATGACAGCCTTTTACCTCATCACACGTCTCCACCTTTTTTCCCTTTTTAGCCTCTTCCTCCTCCTCATCTTCATCTTCATCCCCTGCATCCTCACTGTCCTCATCTTCATCATCATCGTCATCACTATCCCCAGCCTTCCTCTTGCGCTTGTGACCAATGGCGGAGCCGCCCGCAGCCTGAGGCTCCTCCCCTCCAGTGATTGCTTCACGTTTCCCTGTCCGTTTAGCGTAGATTATTTTCATTCTGCATGAACATACGCAGAAATTCGGATTAGTTTGTGACAAAACTAAGATATGTGCATTCAATGCACAGCTATTACAGTCAGTAAAGGGAAACATTGGTTGTGTTTAATGCCTAGTAAGATTCAAATGTTTGAACATCTATTATAGCTGAAAATGCTGTCTTCTAGGAAGAGAAGTCCTGAAATACAGCCATTATGTTTGTATAAATCAGGCAAAAATATTGATACTCACTTCTTCAATTTGCCCTCCACAATACACTCGTCCTTCCTCAGCACGTTCATGTGCTCCAGGCTTTTGTCGATCTCACTGCAAAAACACACAAACAGTTTTATACTGCTGTAGATACCAATATTATTTTAGTATTATAACTATTAATTTAATTATTTAGTTTAATTAATAATTGTTAAAATGAATTGTAATTTTTATTAGGTTTATGTGCTTTTTCATTTTTTATACTACAAAAACTATATATTAAAAATATATTAGTATTAAGGTTTAATTTTTCCTTTTTTAGTTTTTATTCCCAGTTACTAATTTTAGTGCTTTAACTTAATTTCCAATTTTTATTAGGTTTAAGTATTTCAATCAACCATTTATATTTTTTGTTATTTTATGTTATTTCAGCTTCTTTTTTTTTATAAAATAATGTTTTAATAGTTTTAGGTAATGATAATAACCCCGGTAGATTCCAGATATACATGTGTAATAATTTCACATGATGAACCCAAGCAGTTGAGGTTCCTGTGTTCACATGCATTAAGTCTTAAGAGCTCTGTGACCGTCACACTGTGTGACCTCTCCACTGCCTCTTTACGCAGTATTATTTCAAGATGCATATTTCATATTGCCCAGGCAGGCCTGACAGATTATAAGCCTGTATCACTTTAATAATGTAATCTCTAGTCCAAACATGAATCATTTAAGTTTGAGAATGTCTTGCATAGGTGTAATTAGTTGATTTTGAATTAATGTTAAAAGGGATGTGACATATTTCTCAAAAAAAATATTGTTTGTTTGAAGTAAAAATATTTATTTGCCTCATTTTAAAAGTTCTTGTTAACATGTTATTCAGTTAATGGTCTATGCATATATAAAAACAACTTTGAATTTTTGACAAAAATCGGTTAACTGATCTTTATGTATTATTGTATCAAAGTTGAAAAATTGTGCTGTAATGTATATATTGTGATAACTAAAAAAATGCCATCTTGTATAAGAGTTGTGCTCTGTACTAATGTAAACATCAAGAATCACTGCAGCTGAACTCTGAAAACATAAGTGGAATTTATTGTTTCTTACCTGACCACGCTTTTACTGCAGGACAGCTCATTTACCAGGAAGGCCAGGACAGCGGCTTTCTGAGCCGGCGTGTGGGCCTGAAAGGCTTTGGTCCTCAGACTCAGAGTAAGATCAGCAAGCTCAGTCTGAGAGCAGTGAGCCTCCATGTACAGCTGCAAAACCTCAGACACATTGTCCCGATTCAGACCCACATTGGTCAGGTGGTCACCCAAGATAGACTTAGCCTGATGGAGAAAAGGGAACAGTTGCAATTCTGCTAACCCTTTTAACCAAAGATAGACAGATCATTCATATGCAGTGGCACACTGACTTAGTAAGTGATTTATGTGTTCATTAAACCAGAGACCCTTTCCTCGATTAAATTTGATCACAAGCACTCACAGGAGGCGCATGTTAATACCAGATGTAAACAGAAATGTGTCTCTGCTGAGCACTTGTGAGCGGGTCACTTGAGACAGATGTTAATAGCAGGTGTAAACAGGCCTGAAAGTACACTTATTGCTATTGACAATCACAGTGAAGTAACCTCCAGGCATTTCCTCCTCACCCTGTGTCCTTGAGGCAATCCTGGGTCGGACACAGCAGACGAGAGTAGCTGGACCAACAGGTCCTGCACTTGCCCCATGCTGTTGCCCAGGTTGAGCAGTCCCTCCTGCAGTATACCCAGAGTGGGCAATTCTGAGGGATCCACGCCCAGGACTTTCCCAAAGCTCCGCAGGAACTGCACCACCATCAGGCAGTCTGCAAACACACTCCCGGGAAGAACCAGACCATGGATACGAGGAATCTCAGGAAGGGGCTATTGAGGGACAGAGAAATATAGAGAAACAAGTGAGACAAAATGTTTGTAAACATCATGTTTCAAATGAGCAATGAAATCTGACAAGAATAGTATCAAGTCTGCTTCTTTTGCTCAAATCATGCAAAAGAAATGTCTTTCAAGCTGATTTAGTTCATGTGATTCAACATTCCCTTCTCATTCCATTAGACACCGTACTAAGCATTTAAATATTTATTTATTTATTTGTATATTTGTTTGTTTATGAGTGGCCTTTCACCTTACTGCCTATTAGGGATGTAATGATTACCGGTTTGACGATAAATCGTGATAAAATACCCCACGGTTAGTATTACCGTTTCATATTTTAATTATCACTATAACCGTATTCGATTACCGCGATTTGAACAACTGAGGATAAATAAATACTGTACTGCACAGGGCTCCAGTGTGCGACCAAATGGGCGCAGTTTGCGAGAATTTTTTCTGCCAGTCACTATAATCGTGATAAGAAATTTTCATACCATTACATCCCTACTGCCTATTGTCCAAGCCAGGATGTTTCTAACTCAGATCAATAAATATATAATAAATAAACATATTTTATTTATTAATTAATTAATATAAAAACAATTTACTTAAGTAAAAAACAGATCTTAGGTGTTATAATAATAATAATAATTAATAGTAGCAGTAGCAATAGTAACTCTAATTATAAAAAATGAAGTAAAAAATATATTACTGCTGTAAATTACAATTGCACTGTAAAATAAAAAATGAACTTCATAATTATAATAATTACACGCACTGCATGCTTTACTCTGAAACACGCAGCACATCAGATTATTACTATCAGTTATTTAAGTAAATCGCAGCCTTTGACTTGATAATCACACTAAGTTATATCGCAATTATTGCGTAGCCCCATTTATTTATTTTAATTTTACATAAGATATAATTAAGCTTTTCATCAACGCATGAACCCCCTGCAGTTCCATCACAAACCCCTGCTTTAGATAATGATATAATAATTAGTTTTGTCTTTAGTACAGTTATAATATAAAAGCTACTTACTTAATTATGGAAACATATTGTCTGTACAGTATGACAATACTAATTTTTCACACTGTAAAAATGGGTCTTTATACATGAAATTAGCAGCCATTATATTTTAAGAATGAGGTCTTTGACAAAATTTAAGTTCATAAGAATCAAAAAGTTTGAAAACTCCTGGTCTAAGATTCAAGGCTGCTAACTTTCATCAAAACGCTATGATTATTACCACTAGGTGGCAGTATTCTGTCTCAGGAGAATTCACTGTGAAGCGCTTTGGTAAGATTAGGATACGTGTATGACATCATACCTCCGAGAGTTCTGATTGGATGAGTCTTTATGTTAATAGCTCATCAATAAAATGCTAATCTTACAAAACAAGCTTTCTAAATAAAGGGTTCATAAATTATTGTTAAAGTTGTTTTTAAACGATGCAAAATTTGTCCGATATCCAGTTCCATTACCTTGTGATCTGTCAAACACATGTCTTCATTGGGTTTCTTCATCTCACGGATCATCTCCAGCTCCAGCCTCCGGAGCTCCATTTTCCGCTCCTTGTCGAGGCGTTTCTCATCACGTTTCTCTTGCCTGAGGCGTTCGCGCTCCTGCGGGGTGGAAGAAAGACTTTTCTAACCAGTTGGATGCCACATCAGGCTTGTTTGACATTAGGGTATTATGTTCTACAAGAAAACTTTGTTTTGAAGAATGAGGAATGTTTAGGGTACTTTATCAAACTACATCAAAATTATTTGGTGAAGCACATTCAGGGAATGTAGCAGAGCAGGTAGACGTGACGTGAGAAAGCCTTGAGGTGCAGAGAGGAGAGCGGAGTGGTGAAGGACAGTGTTCCGTTATTTATTTATTTCGTTTTTCACACCTCAGCTTTTTTCCGAGCCTCCACAGCTTTCATTAGCATAACGTGCTGTCTCCTCCTCTCCCTCTCCTGAAAAGACAGAATGATTCCATCGTTCAGTGGAGGAAAGCAGAGCATACAGATCCACACAGAGAAAACAAATAAAATATAAAAGCCAGAGACAGACGATAAAACTGATCAGCGTGGTTTAGCATGTTGCACAGAAAGAGAGAGAAAGAAAAAAGTAGGTGTAGAACGGACACATTGCTATGGCCAGGATGAGGCAGCCACAAAAACATGTGTTACAGCTGATCAGACGGGAACAAAAGAGCTAAAAGAAAAGCCACAGATGTAATGGGCAGGTCAGAGAAGGAAAGCTGTCGGTGCATCTTGAGTTAGATTAGCGTAGCTACTGTTACAAGCTAACTAGGGAAAATACATCAGATTTCCCTCAGCCTCAATGTCCTGTCCTTACAGTGAAGCATGTTGTTATGTCACTGTTATTATGAATTTAAAGTCAACATGAAATCATAATTGACCCCATTTACTTTCTTAATACACTTTTCAGGTCTTACTGAGTATCTTTCTTTAAAATGTAAAACTGGCAAATAACCAATTTATGGCTGAGATTACCTAGAACTCACAGACTGTTGGATAATGTTAAATGTGCACTCAGTAATTTGTTGTTTATGTTGCGCTACCAATGTCTTGGATTCATACTGACATCTAGTGGTGTGGATGTAGCATCACGTTAGTTTCAGTTACCGATACCACTTTGCAGTCAGACTTAAAAGATCTACAAATTAAATTGTTTAAAAACAAGGGTGCTAAAGGGATAGTTCACCCAAAAATGAAAATTCTGTCATTAATTACTCACCCTCATGTTGTTTCAAACCCGTAAGAACTTAATAAGATTGACAAATTAAGATATTTTTGATGAAATCCGAGAGCTTTCTGACCCTGCATAGACAACAATGCAACTGACATGTTCAAGGCCCAGAAAGGTAGTAAGGACATTGTTAAAATAGTCCACGTGACATCAGTAGTTCAACTGTAATTTTGACTGACAAGGAAGAGAAGAAATTGTTGAATCAAGTAGTTATTTCTGTTTTCTTTGCGCAAAAAAAGAATTCTCGTAACTTTATTAAATTAAGCTTGAACCACTGATGTCACATGGATTATTTTAACGATGTCTTTACTAACTTTCTGGGCCTTGAACATGTCAGTTGCATTGTTGTCTATGCAGGGTCAGAAAGCTCTTGGATTTCATCAAAAATATCTTATTTTGTGTTCCGAAGATGAACAAAGGCCTTACGGGTTTGGAACAACATGAGGGTGAGTAATTAATGAATGACAGAATTTTCATTTTAGTGTGGGGGCAGTCGTGCCCTAATGGTTAGAGAGTTGGACTTGTAACCCAAAGGTTGCGGGTTCCAGTCTCAGGTCCGGCAGGAATTGTAGGTGGGGGGAGTGAATAACCAGTGCTCTCTTCCACCTACCACCTCCGGGTGTGCGTGTGTGTGTGTGTG